TGCACTAGCATGAGACGGACCACATGACGTATCTTTCCGATCACTTTATAAAAAAAGAGCTCTGTTCCTAAATTCAAGTTCTATTATGAAACATTTAATATTGGATACGTGAATCCAAGCATTAGAAGTAAAAAACTGAACAGCATGATGGGAACAGTTGAAGGATTGAATAAAGTTCGATGCTACTCGTGCTGCTATAGTTTATGTGAAACACGGATTACTCATTAAATAATCTAATATTTCTGCCGCTGTATTAATGTTCTTCCAATCCAGAACAATAATGATCAGTTCCACAGGATTCAAAATAGCGATGACTTATGAATGAATTACTACTAATTCAATTTTTTTTGCTCTAGAATTAGAACTACTGACTTTGCATGGTATTTTGCATGCGGTTAGGACATTAGTGATACTAATTTGAACAGGAGAAATGATAAACTGAATTGACTTAAATGATTATTTACCGTTACTATCCGCGTATAGAAAGTAACGACAAAGATGTCAGAGTAGCTTAATTTAACGTTTAAGCGCTTGTCAACTTTACAGGTCAATAAATCCTAACTAACGGATTCCGGTTCGGATTGCGTCGGAATTCGATCGGATCCTGTCGAGAATAACTGAACTGGGTTTTGAAGCCCTGTAAAGTTTGCTGGTATTTTGTGAGGGCTTTAAGCCACTTCAGAGCCTCTAAAAATCTTGGGTTCTATACTCTTTTAAAATCTACTGTTTCTCACTTTGTTTCATTCTTGTACAAGTAGTATCGATAACAGATGTAAAAGATAAATAGTAAAATGGTCGTTAAATGATCATATCGTCTTGCGAACTTTCCTACACGTAAGACGACTAGAAGATACTTTGCAACATTGTAGAAGTTGTATCGTTACATCATAGTCTGTGCAGTTTTAAAATTTGAAACAAAAAGCTCTGTAGCATATTCTTAATTCTAGTTCGTACATGAAGCCTAAATCTCCCATCTAGTGAACTCGATTCATCATTGTCATACGTAAAAATCTTTAGTACTTGTGTTTGTTAACAAAATAGCTACAACACAAGTTTAGTTTTGACTGAATTGTTTTAAGAAACTGACAAAATCAATCGATTTAACTGCACATCTCAACAATGAAGTTGTTTGACTCGTTGGTTCCCACAGTTTACCTAAGTTTACTTCTGCAAGAGTACAGAAACTAATTTGATTTTTCATCTTATGTTACAGAGTTAGATACTTTCCGTAGACTGACACCTGAGATCGAACCAGAAGATCTGTTGTTCAAAAGCTAATAGTCAACAATAAAATCTAAACGATAACTAGTGTTCTGTGATTCATCTGATAATCAGAACTCTGTGTTGTAAGCTGAAATAAATGCATGTCATGCCGGTGTCATAGATTTTCTTAAGACAACGATGCATCAGTCTATTTAATTAGATGTCCAGTTGACCGATCAGTAGTAGAACTAAAGCATCCCTATCTCAAACGCAGCGTCGATATTACTAATTGAAAACTTTACCAGGCCAGAAATATAGAATCAGTTTTTACCTGTTGTTTGTCTATCTAAAGATAAAATGAAGACAAGAGGACACTTATAAATAACTTATGTCTATACTGTGAGCATATATCTGTGAATATTAAAATAGCAGTTGAACTGTTAAACATGTGATACCTTTGAAATGGAGAGCTTCTCTTTTTTATACTATACCAAGATGAACAAAAGAGCCATTGAAATGAAAGACACAATTTATTATATTGTTTTCATAACGTCCACACCTCTTCAAGTTTAGACTTTATTATAAAGTTTACTGAGTAATGTAAAAACTAATAACAGATGACCGATAAATGTTTGAACTAGACGAAAAAGATCCTTATTTTAGAAGAAAGAATGTCTATCAAGGGATGCAAATCAAAATGCACTAGCAGAATATACCTATTCTGTCACCTAAGGAAAGAAACATGGAACTGAAAGACTTGAATAAAGTTTTAATTCGCTCAGTTTTTAGATCCTCTCAACGATGACCATGCATAGCATGATATATTGTTTTCCGCTTAGTTTCACAAGAAGATAAAATAATGTTAGGTCGACATCCGACTGGTTGCAGTTTCATGTTTCATAATTTCCAGCTTTCGGCTTATTTCATTCGAAACTATAATGTTTTATTCTCTACCAGGATTAGAAACTCTTGTGATTTATCAAGGCTACCACGAAATTGGCTATTATTTGGCTTTTGGTGCGTAAATTGTGAAAGAAATTCGATGTCTTATTTAGAAATGACTTATATTCTTCATCTATACATTATCTTCTTAGAGCAATGCTTTTATAAATGTTAGTTGAATGAAGCTGCATCTGATATGCATGAACATGAGCTATAATTTCAGTATTTTTCACACATCCACATTGATTAATTCAAGAATTTCCATTGAATTCTCATGGGATTGCCGGAATTGCTGGAATTGTCGAGAGTGCCATGGGATTGGCAATTCTGGCAATCTGCCGATTCCCCCTTGCACAGCCCTCTATGAAGAAGTGCGGAAAATGCGGTATCTGCTACGAAAGATGGACCTCCCACTGAGTCTCAAGCTAAAAATAAGTATTGCTTTTCATTGGAAGACACAGTATTGATGAAGAGACGTCCTATCTTCAAGCGCTTCTTCTCAGAAAACGTAGCGTCTTTTGTATCAATATCTCAAAGTATCTCTCGATGCAAAACGTGTTTCATTTTATAATCTAGTACCCAGTGAGAGATGCATCTTTCAAAGAACTTTTGTTTGTATTTTTAAACAAGAACCAAGATGGAAGATGCCATATCTTTAAACATATGTCGCCGGGATATTCGATGTCTCTCGAGGAGATGTCTTACGTGAGGATCATATGATAACTGTCACATTTTTCTGCACTTCTCCGACATCTCCGAATTCTTCGGTATATGACACTATTCTGCAATCAGTGCACTCTCGGATTGGAAACTATCCGTCGCAGCCTATCTCTCCAAAATGTGAATTTCTATTTGATTCTTAATCAATCAATGTAGTTCTGAGAAAAATATGGTTGGATTTTTTGGGTTTCTTCCCAGAAAAACCAATGTTTGACTATCACAAAATATCGAGCAATTGCATCTTCAACTGAGATATATGATTTCGAACCTTCATCAACCTGACTGGAGACAAAAAGGGTCAAAAATATTTACGTGTGCAGCTGTCTTTTTGGCATCGACAATGACTTCATTTCACTGATTAACAAACTGAAACATAGAAACATGTTTTTGTTCATATACACATCAGAGACCGAACTCGAACCGACTTAAAAAAAACAATCGAACCGAACCGAACTCGAACTGCTTTCTGAAAAAATATAGCGAAGATAATCGAAGTTGAGCTATTTTTTGAAAATTATTTGAAATATAAAATATCAAATGTCTTTGAACGAAGTGTATGAGGAATAATTTGAATGTCAAATAGTTATAATCTCTATCTTCAGAGTGTCCCAACAATATACAGGATACATATTATAACTTTCTACTGATAGACAAGAAAACAAAAGAAATGGAAGCTTTCGTCTTAAATTATTCTTTCATTGACAGTTATATGTTCGACATATTTGTGCATGTACATACATAGGAAAGAAAACAGAACAGAAAGAAGAACTATTCTTTTATTGTATTTTTGTTGATCATACGACTGTCATTAAAGAACAATATAAGAGAATTTTATCCACTGTTTTTTCTTTGCAACGCATATCTATGCATATATATCATGCCTTTTTTAATCATTGAAAAGTTAATTTATGTATGTATTGATCTTTAAATTATATGAAATAAAAATGTGTCACAGTACCTTTACACTGCATATTTCAAAGAATTACCAAACAAGTTTTTCCATTGTCATCTATGATTGTCGAAAAACTAGTGACGATGAACGAATAGAAGAGAGAATGATTGTTGAACAATTGCCAGCTTTTTTCAAATTGTAATATTGGAATCCGACTCGATCACTCTTTGATCGTTTATTTTACATAAGTACTTTAATTTTCGTATAAATTTATGCATTATTATATAACAATTACATTAATTGTGTTCTTGAGCGTCAGTCAGTAACGCTCAGTTTGATTCGTTCCTTCTTTTTTTTTCTACATTGTTTATCTTCAGTAGTCAAATATATACTAGCATTCCTAACGAGAATGCATATTCTTATAAGAAGACATATAATTATCATTCTTCATTTGCGTCTCCTTGTTGATTATTCTGTGTTCATTAGAAACCGAAAACGAATCTAACCGAACCCGAACCAGTCTTCCAAAAAATTTACCGAACCGAACCGAGCCGAACCCGCACTACGCTTTGAAAAATGAGCTCGAACCGAACCGAACTCGAACTATTATAAAAAAGAAAATACGAATCGAACCAAACTCGAACCAGGAAATCTCGGTTCGATTCAGTCTCTGATATACATACAAGTAGCGCTCGTCTGTACGACTCGCTTAACCCTCAACTAAAAATTAGAGATTAGTCTTTTGTCGACACTTCTGTCAAACCTTGCTCATAGTCACCTGGTATATTATTGGAGAACATCAAAACAATCATGGATTATTCTGCATTTACCTTACGGATTATAAGTTCTCTTAGAAGATTGTTTTAGCATTACTTCTATCGATAGAGAAAGGTACGATTTTTTTCAGACAAATAACTATTCGAGTTTTTGAAAAATCTGACTTCAGATTTGGATTCTACGACCTTCATTTACTTTCGTCGATCTTTATAAAATATCGTTATTTTCTCAAAAAACTCTTTTCTGGACCCTAAAATTCCAATTCGAAATTTTAAGAAGCTGACTTTGGATTCCGCGGTCCTGATTTACTTTCGTCAACCTAAACAAAAACGTTTCTAAAGTGGAAGTTTTTTGACCTCGATACAAACACATATACACACACCAACCATTTTTTGTCATATGACCTTCCCTACAATCGGGGGAATATACAATATATAGCTAAATATAGAGAAGAGACTTGACACAAATGACACTATATCAAGTATAGGAGGTGAGTGAGTTGATGTGACAAAAGGAAACTGAAACCCACCACGAATACCCAAGCTCAAACCCAAACTCTCAAGCAGTTCGGCTTTTCCTTTAGATATGATGCATGCCTGCATACAATCATACTCATACCCACCCTCTGAATAGTCATAGCTATTTTTCTAGGAAAAACTGAACAATGAAGTAGAAAAATTGGGTTACCGTAAGTTTGCCAATAAGACTATTCTTCAGATGTTGGACAATCAAAAACTGATGGTGATATTGGTCGGAGAGATCAGTAACAAATACACGCTAAGAAAATTGTTGGAAATGATATAATCAAAAAGTTTTATCTGTAGTTTTAGATTTATTCGAAATAAGTCTAATATCATTGGTGTCTTAACAAGTGTGAAGTATAACACATAAAACATTTGTTCATATCAATACATAGGTAAAAATTTTAGTATGTATGATATGATTTCGAGTTTTTCAGATACCTATTATTAATCAAACACCTGTTACTACTCGTGCAGCAGCATTAAGATCGCAAGCTAATGCAGATTTAATTCATTTACAAGAGCAAGCAATACCAACACCAGCATCAAGTAACAAAACAACTCGTAAACGTTCATCAAAGCAGAAACGTAAACAAGTTGAAATACAACAGATTATGCCTTCTGCTGATTCTCAAATATGTCCTCCACTTCAACCACAGTCAACAACTTTAGATGCTGTACTTACACCTGAAGCTCTTCATGAATACCCTCATGAAGATGTGATATTAAAAAAAAAGATGATACAACAGTTGAACAAACATCTTCAATGCCAATAACGGTTTCAGTTTTTCCAACAACACCATCAACATAGAATCATCAGACAACGATGAAAACGAAATTTTCGCAGGAGATTCAAATCATCTTATGAATATACCAGTCATCAAAGAAGAAATAACAACGAGCACATCAACCCGAGGTGGAAGAATGGTTTTCATGAATGGCTTTGCATATCTTTACATGAGTATGGCAAAACAAACAACAGGCTGTCTGTGTGCTCGAAGAAATGAGAATGGTAAAGCCATTATTCATATCTCAAAACAAACAGGGCAATTTAGCCACGGGAACAGTATATTCCATTGTCATCCATCTGATGCACATGAAACACGAAAATGCGATATATTAAACAAAATTAAACATTTTGTTCTTGATAAATATATATCAATCAAAATCATAATTGAAGAAGAATATAGGAAAGCAAATCTATCAGTCGAAGAAAAACCAATGATGCCTCTTCCTGCTCAAATAGGTATACAAAATTAGTTCTTTTTTGTAATGTAATTGCACCTTCTAATTTTTATTCATTAGAATCTGGTCTAAATAAATTAAGAAGAAAATCATTACCACCAATACCACAGAATCAAAAGTTTCTCGTACCACCAGTTTATCAAGAAACCTACTCTCATAAAAAATTTCTTATCTATGATAAGCGAAAAACTATTTAAGCAGGTTGTCTGATGATATTTTTGCTTCTGATGAACAGTTAAATATCTTATATGGCTCAGGTGTATTATTTGCTAAGAGCATATTTAAGATTTCACTAAAGCTATTGGAGCAGCTATATGTGTTACATGGGATGCAAAATGGTGAAGGTATAAATCTTCTTTTTTCTTTCTAATTAATGGAATGAAGATATAAGAGAGGATAGAAGGAAAATAACACAGAAACAAACATGACATTCAGACATATGTATGTTTATAGGCTAAAGAGACGAAAGAATGCACCTGAATTAGATAAAATAAGAGAGAAGGAGAGAGATATGTTCGCACTGTATGCGATAATATTGCCAATGATACATCAAATGTTTTTGCGTTTCACTTTCTCATTATTTTTGGCCATACCTGTTTATTTTATACTAACATCGAATAGAAAACAAGAAACGTATGAAGCGATTTTCCGATGTTTGAAAAGAATAGGTGGTAAAAAACGGTATTGATTTAAAACCAACTACAATTGTTTGTGATTTCGAAAGAACATTCATGGATGCTGTTCAAACAGAAGTATGTCATTTTTTTAAATATCCCATAGCATTCAAAAATATGTATTCGTCTATGTAAATGTGACTTAGTTACCTGATACAAGTATTAATGGGTGCTGATTTCACATGTACCAAGCTTGCTTTCGAAATATTCATGAAACTGGCTTGATGAAATTATAACCGAATGATTCACAGTACGTGTATATAATACGAAGCGTAATTTTCATATATCATGCAGAATATGAATGTCTCACTTGAACGAATAAAAATCGAATAGACCCTCGCCAATATACGTACTGGATATTCGTCAGTATATCTCTTGGAAATTCGCGAATTGGTGAAAGTTCAGTAGATATTCATCAGTATATCTGTTGGACAGTTGCCAATATATTCCGTGGAATTTCGCCAATAGTTGGCGAAAGTTAAACTTGGTGAACTTACAGAATCCCGAAAAACGATGTTACTTTTCTTCTTGTTTCTTTACTTATTGTAGTTTTCAAGGAATATTTTAAAGAAGAAAAATAATTAAAAAACAGCTTTTTTTTTTCTTGTTTTCACTTAGTTAACCATGCATTGCTTTTTATTTTCATTGGAAAAACCGAACAGTGAATCAGAGAAATTACATTGCTTTTCTTTTCTCTTTACTCATTGTAATTTCCTGAGAAGATTTTGCAGAAGGAAGAAAGTTAAAAAAAGCATTTCTTTTTGTCTTTTCACTTGATAATAACAAGCATTGCTTCTAAGTTTTCTTGGAAAAAGAAAACATGGAGGCGGAGAAAGTAGCGTTACTTTTCTGAGTTTTTTCTTTTCTGATTGCAACATTCGCCGGAGATTCTAATTAAGTCAGATAATAAAAAATCTTATCCTATTTCTGTTGAGTTGTTTATATCAAGTATTCTCCTTTATTTATCTGAGAATAACTGATTAAGTAAGCAGAGAAAATGGCTTAGTCTCATTTCAGGTACTTTTTCGTTTATGTTACTTTAAGAAAGAAAATAAACAATTTCCTGAAATTATATATATTGTTTTAAATTATCTATCTTTATTTATGCAAGAAAAATTGTTTATGAAAAAAGTATATGATTATTTTTCTAACAAATTCATGATCATAAAAAAAAATGATAAAAATTTGCAAGTTACGATGTTTTTTTTACTCATATCTCCATAGTTTATTTTCTACTCCAAAGTTAGGATATTCAGGCAAATTATCATCTAAGTTTTCTAAATTATTTTTTTGTGAAAATTTAAATTACTACTCTATAGTTGTTTTTCCATTACCAACTTTAAAATAATAAAGCAAAAATTATTTTATAGTTGGTAATTATGTTATTATTGAAATTAGAATTTTTTTTTACTTCTCCATAGTTCGTTTTTCACTCCAAAGTCAGGATATTCAAGCAACTTATCATCTAAGTTTTCTAAATTATTTTTTTGTAAAGATTTAAGTTACTGCTCTATAGTTGTTTTTCCATTACCAACTTTAAAATAATAAAGCAAAAATTATTTTATAGTTGGTAATTATGCTATTATTGAAATTAGAATTTTATTTTACTCCTCCATAGTTTATTTTCTACTCCAAAGTCAGGATATTCAAGCAACTTATCATCTAAGTTTTCTAAATTATTTTTTTGTGAAAATTTAAGTTACTGCTCTATCGTTGTTTTTCCATTACCAACTTTAAAATAATAAAGCAAAAATTATTTTATAGTTGGTAATTATGTTATTATTGAAATTAGAGTTTTACTTTACTTCTCCATAGTTCGTTTTTCACTCCAAAGTTAGAATATTAAGGCAAATTGTTTTTCTAATGTTTGTAAAATGTAACTTTGGTTTAAACTAAAATCTTAGCTCTATAGTTTGTTTCACATCACCAATTATAAAATAACTAAGGCAAACACTATTCTGTAGTTAGTATAAATATTACTATTAAAATTAGAATTCTATTTTATTCCTCCATAGTTTGTTTTCATCTCCAAAGTTAGGATATTTAGATAAATTTCTATTCTAACCTTTGTAATATTTCTTTTATCAAAATTGAAGCTACTGCTCTATGGTTCGTTTTTCTTGACCAACTTTGAGATAATTATAGAAAAATTTATCATATAGTTGGTAACCATGTAACTATTTAATTTAATCTTTTATTTACTGCTCTATAGTTCACTTTTCTTATCTAACGTTAAAATTTTTGATTAAAGTTTATTTGATAGTTGACAAAGGTTTTTTTGTATATGTGTATGGGTCAACTAATTTTTCAAAAATTCATTGTTTATTAAAATGACAAAAAATAAGGACGAAAAATTGTCCTGAGTTCACTCGTAATGTTTTTATCTTGATGAAACTACTATTTTGATACTAAGATTGTGTTTTTCTCAAAAATTATGATAAAATATTCTATTTGGACAATGTGATCATGAATCTGACGGAAATAAACAATCATATAACTTACATAAATGAGCGAAGATAGATCCAATATTTTAATTAAGACGTGAACAATTGTATACAGAAAAAAAAATTTAGAAAAGTTTGAAAGTTGAAATAAATTTATATACGCGCCGTTTTCAAGATTTTTTATCATAATCATTGTTGATGTTTTACGTTTTTGTGGAACTCACGTATATTTTCGAAGAAAATAGTGAGTGTAAGTTTTAAGTTCGAGGTTTTGCGGCTCCCCCCCCCCCCCCCCCCCCCCCCCC